ATCAGTCGGTGAGAAGCGAAGATGTGTTCTCTATTGCTGTTTTGTGTTCTCGATTTTTCTTTTGCCGCAAATGTTCTTGACATTATTTCGTGACTCACTTGGTTTGATGGAAAATGAGATCAATGCTTCGATGCCTAAAGATTTCTCGTATAATTTTTCGATTCTTATACTTGTTTTATCAAGTTCGAGAAGATCTTTATGACTTCGGCAAATCATCGAGTTTCGCTCTGAAGTTTCGCAGAGATTTTCTAACCGCATGATTGCGACGAGAGATGCTGTATATTCCTCGAGATTATTTCCCAGACGTTTTGGATCAGTTTTTAGCGTTTAGACGGTTCTTAGATTGTCGTTTGCTTTTGGGATGATTTTGACGAGGCGTTGCATTGTCCGAATATTTTTCCGCTTGTTTTGGCGAGAGTTTGCTTTATAGAAAGCGTTTACTCGACGCGAGGGAAAATATTCGACGAAAAGAAAAAAGACGAGTTTCCTTTGAAGGATTCAGATGATCGATAATCCGGGTTGGTTAAAGACTATGGTAGATTGGCGATGACTTGGAGTATGTCTGGTTTACGAAAATTTCTTGGAGCGAGTCGGTTTTAGGACGACGTCAGCGTCTCTAGCTCCTTCTTTCTTTTAGGAAATGAGTACGTTCGAATGCGTGGCGATTGTTTCTCGGTTGTACGATAGATTGGATCAGTTTGCGAGTTAGGCCTGAATGGTTAGAGAACAACAAATCGAGATAGACAAAAATTGCTTACAACTTAGCATGCTAGACTATCCTCTAAATTCTAAGTTCTCTAGGTTTCACGGCAGTTTACAAGACATTTTCATTTCTTACCTACGAGAAATTAGAAGTCTAATAAAAATTTCAAATCGGACATACCTTAGTTTCATCGATGATTTGGGATTGTCTATTCTTCGTTCTTCGTCTTTTGACCTACCGGTCTTCGACGAATTACCAGAAAGAGTATCGGAGCGGGGAGAAGACTTAAAAATCAGAGCTCATGTTCTTGTTTCTTCGTACTGCTGGTTTTATTTGACCGACTAGATGCGCTTTGTATATCGAAAAAATCAATCACGTGTATATGATTGGATGTTTTCGACTTAGTGTGGCAGAGTTTCGTAAAACCGGATTGGGTCTAGCGAGTTCACATTTCTCGTATAGTTAGGTAACTTTGGTGTTAAGTCAACCATTGCCGTTTTAGCAATTGATTTGAACTTATACGAAGAAACAAGTCTTTGTGGATTTATCGTAAAATCCCGATGGAAATTCTGATTGGGACGAAACAGAGAATCAGCGCGATCAAGACTCGAGAGAAACTCGAGGAGTGGTTCAGCTTGATGTAGGGCAGGTCGGGCGAACCCTTTCAGCTCGCCGTGTGGCGATCTGGATGGTAAGAACCCTTGGGGCGAAGCCAGCGTCTCTTGGGCGAGCTAGGCGCTTGGTTCAGCTCTACGTTCGGCGAGTTAAGACGCTTGGTTTAGCTCTATGTTCGGCGAGCTAAGACGCTTAGTTTAGCTCTACGTTCGGCGAGCTAAGACGCTTGGCGCGGGTGATCTCGATTCGTCGAGTTGAACTGTTTTCGTCGTAGAATCTCAACGGAAAGTCCGACTGAGACGAAACGAAAAGCTGTACGACTATTGTTTAGAGTACGATCAGGCTCACCATGAGTTGGATTGTGTGGACCCTCGGGGAAAAGTCAGTGCCTCGAGGACGAGGAGAAAGGCCGACAAGCGTACCAAGGTGGCTAGCTGGGTTGTTTAGCCAACTTACCGTCTTGGTGAGCTAGACAGTATCGTCCCAGTCAGTGTATTAGCGAGCTGAACGGTACAGCCAACTCCGCGAGTAGACTAAGATACATTCGCGAGTAACCTTGGGATTTTTCCGCGAGTGACCTAGGTTTTTGTCGCGAATAACCTGGAGTTTTTCCGCGAGTAACCTAGGGTTTTTCCACGAATAACCTAGTTTTTTATGTGAGTAACCTAGGGCTTTCTCCGCGAGTAAAGCTAGGGCTTTCTCCGCGAGTAACCTAGAATTTTTCCGCAAACAACCTAGGATTTTGCCGCGAATAACCTACGGTTTTTCCGCGAGTTAACCTAGGATTTATTTCGCAAGTAACTTACGGTTTGTTCCGCAGTTTCTGGGAGAACAAGTTTTATTTTTCCGAAAAGTTCTCGGAAACGTCTTTTGCTCAACCCATGAGATTTGTTCAACTCGGAAATAAGAAAACACACTATGGGGTTTGATAGATTTTATCGTTACCCTTAGTGATCTAAGATAGGAATCGTGAGCTTGTTTTGTTGTTTTTCCCGTGGCAAAGAGTCGCGATTAGGTTTTCGATTTTGTTGTGCACTACAGCGTTTGTGTGAACGTTGGCTATAGGAGCAGTCGCTGCTGGAGTTGTTTTACCAGTGTTTTTGCGAGTTGCGACTATGTCTTTCATATATCACGACATCGTTTTGATCAAGAGTTTTGCGGCTATGAGTAAGAGTAATCCGACCCCCCGCCCCACCTTCTAGCGCCAAACTGTGGGAACCGAAATTCACACTTGTCGATTTCCGTCAAATAAGGAAACTTAGGAAAAACCTAATTTTCCAGAGGAACCGGATCTCTGCGAAAGCCAACGATAAGTAACCAAATGAATGCGGAAAAATACGAAAAACGTAATAAAACGAATTTAAAGAAAAAGTAGATCTTATTTCGATTTCGCGTAAGAACGTTGCGATCATTACAAGGGTTTACAAAGGCTTTGGCCGCAGGGCCGTCAGCGAGTTATCAACATAAAAACCTTAAACCTAATCGAGTCGCAGCTCGATAACAAAGGACGGAAAAACATAAGAAAAAGGATTTGAATTATTTCGGACTGATTCTTATGAAAGGCTGCCTACGTACCCCTTTCGAGGATCAAGTCGAACGTAGTTCAGTTGATAGAGCTGGACCAGAGATCGAACCACCTAGGCGAGTTCGTCTAGTAATTGATCGCCAGTCATAGAAACCGAACTTGTCGAGAAAAAGCCTAAGTTTCTAAGTGCGGAAAATTTTAAGTCTAGAAAAGTTGTAAAAGTCTCAGATGAGTGCTCTGAAATTCGTCCCTTTGCTTCTGCCCTATGCCTCTTGCTTATATACTCCCTTCCTAGACGGTTTCGTCTTTCCATTTCGCCCAGATTCGAGTTTAATGGGAATCTTCCATTTTTTTCCCGATCTTTCCTTTTTTTCCCGCGGAAATCTTCTATTTATCCTCAAACTTAACATTTATCTTCAAGTTTGAAATTTATCTTCTTTCTGCGAGTAAATCGCCAAAACGTCGTCGTATCTTCAGGTTGGACTTCGTTTAAAGTCGCGAGTGGCTTTTATCGCGTTTTATGACTTTCCGAGCCGTTTTGCGATAAATCCGTTTTACGACTTTAGACGAGATCGTTTCCTGATACGATGCCGTTTTTAGATAAGTTTCTCGAGTTAATCGTAAAGCTAAGCAATGTTCGATGTTTCGATTAATCATTTCCGTTTTCTACGATTTACTCGGGGTTTTATTAAAAACGCGTTTTGTACGATTTTTACGAAAAATCTCGAATAAATCGTATAGTTCAGGCAATATTCGGTGTTTCGTTTAACCGTTGCCGTTTTATACGATTCCTCGAGTTCTTTTCGAGAAAACAAAGTTTTACGGTTTTTATCGTAAAACTAGAACGATAGGCGGATCGAGACGAAACGGGAGACATTTCGACCATGATTCGGAATATGATCGTGTCGAAGGACGTATGCCTTGAATCAAGGATGTGGGAGATCGAGGCTCGGGATGGTTGGCTCCACTTAAGGCGAGCTAGTTCAGCTTGGCCAGGTCTCCGTATGGCGAACTAGGCAATAAGAACCTGTGGGGCAAAGTCAGCGCCGGCGAACTAGTCGGGACGAGGCTAGTTCGCCCAACGGCGAACTAGGCCGGCTTGGCTTAGTTCGCCGTTGGGCGAACCAGCCGGGACGGGGCTGGTTCGCCCAACGGCGAACTAAGCCAGTCATGACTTAGTTCGCTCAACGGCGAACTAAGCCGGTCATGGCTTAGTTCGCCGTTGGGCGAACTAGCCGGGATGAGACTAGTCCGCCCACCGGCGAACTAGCCGGGACGAGGCTAGTTCGTGTTTTACGGCGGTTTCGGTTTTTTCGCGGTTTTGTAAAACGATTCTTCGAGTTTTATAAAACGATTCTCGAGTTTTATAAAACGATTCTTCGAGTTTTATAAAATGATTCTTCGAGTTTTATAAAACGATTCTCGAGTTTTATAAAACGATTCTTCGAGTTTTATAAAAAGATTTTTCTAGTTTTATAAATTGATTCTTCGAGTTTTATAAAACGATCCTCGGGTTTTATAAAATGATCCTCGAGTTTTATAAAACGATTCTTAGAGTTTTATAAAACGATCCTCGAGTTTATAAAACGATTCACGAGTTTTATAAAATGATTCCTCGAGTTTTATAAAATGTTCCTCGAGTTTTATAAAATGATTTTTCGAGCTTTATAAAACGATCCTCGGGTTTTATAAAACGATTCTCGAGTTCTATAAAACGATTCTTCGAGTTTTATTAAACGATTTCTTTTATATTTTTGCGGATACTTTTTGCCATTGATTCCGTCTTGACCGATTTTGACACCAACATATATGTTTTAAAAAAACATCAAGATAATCCTTAAAATATTTTAAAATATTTTGTTGGTATTTTAATATTTAATTATATATTCCATTTATAGTTTTATATTTTAGTTTTACATTTTATCAATAAATATTTCTATTATATTTTTAGAATATTTTTATACATGTGATAGTTATTTATAAAAGTTTTATGAATTTGAATTAGTTATGACAAATATAAGGACCATTATATAAAATACAAATAATTTTGAAGTTAGGTTTGAAGTTTTGCTTTTAGTGTATAACACTTTCAAACTTCAAATATAGAGTTTTGCAAACTCTATAATAGAGTCTTTTTGGAGATACTCTAATAAAGACATGGAACCATGTGATTGGTGGACTCCGATGAGTACAGTCCGGAAAATAAGGTTGAACCAATGCAGGAAAATATGGCTCCACCGCCGACCAAGTGGACTAAATAGCGAACGAAACTTGAGCTTAGTGACTCAGCCATTCCGTGAGATGGTTCTCCACTGTCCTCACTGTATTGGTTCGACGAAGAAGCATGGGATAGATTCACTGAATGGTCTATTAATCCAACAATTTTAAGGTTTGGTCCTACAGCCTTTAATATGACCATAGCTGCAAGGATAATAGGTCCTGAAAAATGGCTTGGAAACGAGGTATTACTTTCTTAATTATATAAGGTTGAATATGGGAGTATTTTTGAATATCTTTGATACTACATTGATTTTATTTACTCGTGAATATTCAGGAAATGGATGGGTTCATGTATATATGGCGAGTGAAGACATATTTGTGGCATTGGACACCAGACCGTGTTGCTTTCATGCCCGTTTATTTCAGCCTACAAATTGAGAAGGCACACCCCATGTTTGGCCGTAACAAAAAAAGTTTATGAATTGCCCGATTTTTTTCTTGCTTGCGGGAGAGGAGAGCTTCCATCTCTTGGTAGGTCATTTTTAACAGGTCTTCATTACATCCCCGTATTAACAGATTTAGCAATGTTCAACGTAGGTAATCACTGGATAGCTGTCTGCGTCAATCTGATTGAGAAGGCAGTTGAAGTATTTGATTTCTCTCAGGGAAGGAATAGGCAATTCGTGGAGAAGTTCGCTGTTATGATTCCTAGGATATTAAAGGCTGTTGCACCACCTGAAATCAAGAAGCATCTACTCCTGAAAAATTATTTTATCGTAGAGGTACCTCTGAAGGCTAGATTGAACAATAGTTCATGTGATTGCGGGGAATATGCACTCAAACATTTGGAATGCTACCTCCTTGGTCTTGACCTCAGTTTAGTGGATGACGAAATCCTCCAGAATTGTGGACAAAAATTGCTCTGGATATATGGGTGGCTACACAAGATCTCGTTATAACTGAGCTGGTGACACAATATGTGCCTTCTGGTTTTGAGTCATCTGTTGTACTCGACCTCGTAGAAGACTGATTGTGTCAGTTTGGTTTTCGGTTTTAGTCTTTTTTAAGCTTTAGGTTGTTTTAAGTTTTAGTTTGTTTTTCAGCTGATGAAACAAACTCTAGTTTGGCTTTTTCGGATATATGTTACAAAACACTAGTTTGATTTTTTTATGTTGTATGAAAGATTTGCTATCCAAGCCCTAAGCAAACCCTAACTAATCCCTAAACCCTAACTAAACCCTAAACCCTATCTAACCCTAAACTAAACCCTAAGCGTGTGGCAAACCAAGCCCTAATCAAACCCTAACTAAACCCTAAACCCTATTTAAACCTAAACTAAACCCTAAACTCAACTAAACCCTGAACGAACCCTAATTAAACCCCACATAAGAACCTTAGCATGCAACACCTTATCACCCTAACAATGACATAAATGTCATATAAGAACCTTAGCATGTAACACATTATCACCCTAACAATGACATAAACCCCACATAAGAACCTTAGCTGAGAAAGAAAAACCCTCGTAAAGACAAATTCGTCCATCACGAGGGACAGGATCTCCAAGGGGCGCACAACTACGCCGTCAATTCTGGATCGGAGCAGGGGCAAACTACGGGGAACACGTGGTCGAGGAATCCGAATTATAACGAAAATTTCTTCTGCGATCGCCACCAGACTCGCGGGTACTCAACCGTGAACTGCAAAGTTCTCGGCGCCTGACTGACCGCAAAGTTGCCCGCGGGAGAACTCGCCGAGGTATCCAGCGTGAAGGACCTCATCCGCGATTCAGATCGCCTCCCAAAAACCGATAGGAACTTGCGAGTGGAAACTCCGCCTCAAGGGAACCAGCCGAGCGAAAAACACGGACAAAGACAAGACGAGAAAGGTAATGACGCTAACCGCCGAAGGGTCAATATGATCATCGGCGAATCACAATACTGCAGCGATACCATCTCGTCCATCAAGTCCTACCAACGAAAAGCCAAAACCGGTTTGAGTTGGAACATACCATCGGATGATACTCCTAAGGGAGTAATCGCTTTCGATGACACGGAAACCGGCGGCATCGATCAACCACAGCCGATCCTCTCGTCATCGACTTAGTCATAAGCGACTTAGAAGTCGCCCGAATCCTGGTCGATACCGGAAGCACCATCAACGTAATATTCCGGAACGTGTTGGTGCCAATGGGAATTGATTTATCGGGAAGTTGAGCCAATACCAAAGCCGTTGACCAGCTTCTCCGGCAAAACGACTATGACTCTAGGATCGATCCGGCTTCCGGTCGCTGTGAAAGAAGTGACAAAAATCGTTAACTTCGCAGTCGTCGATTGCCCAGCCATCTACAACGTGATCATGGGCACGGCTTGGATAAACTCCATGAAAACAGTTCTATCAACGTACCACTTATGCATCAAATTTCCGAGTCCTACGGGAGTCGCGGCAATTTGGGGATGCCAGAGACAGTCGCGGTCGTGCTTTTTAGCTGAACATAAGCTAAGGCAATTGGCGGTCGCCATCGTGAAACCGAAACAGGCGAAGTTAACACCACCACCCGCGGAAAACGACCCCAAACCAGCAATGGTCGAGAAGTAGCAAGCCTCCGAACCCATCGCTTCTACCCAAATGGAGGAGACAAACCCGGACAAAGACGCCGATCCAGCGACTGAAGTGATCGAGAAGTCTGCAACAGATGAGTAAACACACTCGCACCAACAATCAGAACTACGAGATGCCTTGATTTCGGAAAGAAATACGTAGGCAGCTCGCCTAAAGACGAGTTCAGCTATCCCCCTTTCCGAAATGGGGGGGGGAGGGGGAGTGGGTGCGTATACGAGTATTCGTATACTCCCAAATTTTAAAATATTCACTTTGTAATCGAAATTTTTGAAACTTTTTTATTAAAGAAAAATTTAGAATATTATAAAATCTCTCTATTATCGAAAAGCGTAAAAACGAATTCCAAGCATCCGAAAATTAATTCCGCAGCAAAAACCACTTGGTCGTTTCGACTAAAAACTTATACCAAATATTTCGAAAAGAATCAGCGAGATGTCGCCTAAACTCTTAGAGAAATATTTTGCAAAAGTTCCTTTACGACTATAAAATCACAAACGCTCGACGATTGGCCCTGTCGAGCACGCTAGCTGTCCTAAACAAAGGAATAGACCCATTGGTCCGCGTACATCCGACTAGGATAAAATAGCGCGCTAAAAGAAATCCAAAATTTTGGTCAGCACCTTCAGGGATGCTCGATGTCGATCAGACAAGTCATCTAAGCCGAGAACATATTGTGGACTTTAAATCGATACAAAATCAGGTTAAATTCGCAACAGGCAAAACAAATGCCGATTAGTCATCGCATAGCCTCAATCCGAAAGTAAACCTAGGTCTTGCCTTAAACCCAGCACACTAGTCTCTAATGTCTCAAGGCATGAATTGAGATCCTAAAGGCATGTCTCTTCACCCACATCTAAAACTCGCGAAAAATCAAAACACTCCGAGTAAACGAACCGGACGATCTACACCAAGAGATAGATGCGAGAAGACAACTCATACTCTTCCCTCTACATCTAAACAAAACACAGATTTCATACTCAGAAAATATTTTCATTAATATTTTATCATTCAATATACACCGCGCAGTGGCAGGGATTCAAAGCCACTGTTGGGGCCAAAATCGGTACGACGGAATCAATAGCCAAAATTCCCCCCAAACCCGTAAACGCAACAGTTTTATGAATCTCGAGAATCATTTTATAAAACTAGAGAATCGTTTTATAAAACTCGAGAATCATTTTATAAAACTTGAGAATCGTTTTATAAAACTCGAGAGATCGTTTTATAAAACTCGAAGATCGTTTTTTAAAACTCGAGAGATCATTTTATAAAACTCGCGAATCGTTTTATAACACTCGAGAGATCGTTTTATAAAACTCGAAGATCGTTTTATAAAACTCGAGAGATCGTTTTATAAAACTCGAAGATCGTTTTATAAAACTCGAGAGATCATTTTATAAAACTCGAGAGATCGTTTTATAAAACTCGAAGATCGTTTTATAAAACGCGAGAGATCGTTTTATAAAACTCGAGAGATCGTTTTATAAAACTC